GAGAAAGAAAGAACAGAAACAAAAGAAGAACTATGAGAAAACCAAACAGAAGAAAAGAAGAACTGACACTGAAAAACAAAAAAAGCACAAGAAAGCTCACCAAGGGCAAACATCATATTCTTGTAAAATTTGTGACAAAACGTTTTCTCGAAACGGTCACATGATGAGTCACATGAGATTTCACACGGGTGAGAAGCCTTTCTCCTGTGGGACTTGTGGAAAAAAATTCTCTCGAAAAAATGATTTTAACGTTCATATGAAAATTCATAGAGGTGAGAAGCCTTTCTCTTGTGGGAGCTGTGGAAAGAGTTACAGTCACAGACAGACTTTAACTTGTCACATGAGAATTCACACAGGTGAGAAACCTTTCTCTTGTGGGACTTGTGGAAAGAGTTACAGTCACAGACACACTTTAACTTGTCACAGGAGAATTCACACAGATGAGAAGCCTTTCTCTTGTGAGACCTGTGGAAAAAGTTTCTCTCGAAAACATACTTTAAATGGTCATATAAAAATTCATACAGGTGAGAAGCCTTTCTCTTGTGGAACCTGTGGGAAAAGTTTCTCTCGAAAAGATACTTTAAATGATCATATGAAAATTCATAGAGGTGAGAAGCCATTCTCTTGTGGGACCTGTAGAAAAAGTTTTGCTCGAAAAGATTATTTAAATTTTCATATGAAAATTCACACAAGTGAGAAGCCTTTCTCATGTGAGACCTGTGGAAAGACTTTCAGGTTGAAAAGGCTATTGGTTGATCACATCAGAATTCATATGGGTGAGAAGCCTTTCTCTTGTGGGACCTGTGGAAAAAGTTTCACGCAGAAAACAGCTTTAAATGTGCATATGAGAATTCACACAGGTGAGAAACCTTTCTTATGTGGGAACTGTGGAAAACGTTTCAGGATGAGAAGTCATGTACTTAGACACTTAAAGATTCATATGGGCGCGAAACACTGACATGCGGAGAGGTTCATAGCTGGTGAGGCTCTGACTTACGATGTGTAAATTTAGACACCATGTTATTATTTACGTACTGAAATTTTGCACCGGCATAAAACACAGGAGGGCAAAATGACTATTCTTTTATGTCATCCATATCGGCGCTAATTTAAGAAATATTAAAGAATGAACTGTTGACAAAAAAGTTACAAATGGTTGATTTTTTTGTTCCCTTTCAGTATAATTAATTCAGAAGTAATTACATTCATATAATTACAATAATAAACTTTTACTGTTCAAAAGAAAACTGCTGCAACACTTGTGGTAAAAAAAAAAGGTGAGTGTAGTACTGTTGATTGTATTGTATAACAAAAGTAAATGTTAAAAAATTAATGAAATTGTGTTGAATTGATAACAAATTGTTTCATCGTTCAAAATAGATTTGAGATTTAAAATTCTATTTGTCTTATTTTGGTGCTTTTGTTAGGGGGGTAATTTTTCACCCGTAGGACAAAGGGAGTAAACAGAATGTTAAGATCGCATGAGGGTTAAATCAGTTTTTTTTTTACTTCTCAGTCACATTTGTACTTAAGATCCCCATC